AAATTAAACTCTGAACCTCAGTCTATAGGCATTGATAGAAGTAAAACTGTTTAATGTTTTATGACCCGCCAGCCTCAATTTTCTCATTTTTCTTCTCAAAGATATTTCTCAAAAGAAACAACAATGGCACCTCCTTCAACTCCAGAGCCTTACTCACAATATGTATGGAGAGTCCTGTCCACTTTAGCTGTAAAAAACCCATCGGCTCTTCAGAGCCATACAGTTAATGGAAACAAAAATGAATTTCAGTTTTGGCTCAATGCTACTGAGCGAGCTGAGAAGTGCAGATGTAGTGCTCTTAAAGGAAAATGTTACTATCCGACACAGCACTCACCCTTGCAAATAAATGGCTGGTTACACAGTAGTAAGGACCACTGGTTTTATTTTTCTTTAAGAAAAAAAGAAAGAAGTAGATGTCTTGTGATATTTTAAAAAGCATTTGTGCAGGAATCGGTACAAGTGTAAAAAGTCTGGCTAGGCATAAAACAATGTATACTCTAGAAATCTGACCTGTCACCCCACCTCTACTGGAGTTTTGACTCTTTCAGAATAGAACTATTTCACTAATTCTGTAAAAGGCATTTTTAGAGTTAAGCCCACTTCCCCAAATCTTGTGGTTGCAAAGGTTAGGGGCTTTGTTGCTGTTGCATTTAAAGCCAGCCTCCCCCAAACCCCTTCCCTAAGACACCGTTATCACTCCTGTTCTCCTAGCTTGGCAGCAAAGACTTTAGAAGAATGCCTACAGGAGAGGAAAAAAGAAAAAAAAAAAAAAGATCTGGTTTATTGTTACTCAAAAGGAACATCAAATAAAAGCATAGATAAAGCAAGGAATATGCACAGAGCCCAGGTCACTATAGGTCAACAGCTGTAACACAGTCAGGAGGTTAAAACTTCAGACATTTTTTTCACGGATTAAGTAAACAGTAGACATATTTGTAGATTTTTCTGGGAATGAGCTTTCAGTGGGAGATAATGTAAACTCAACTTTTAGCATGCTGCATGTTCTTTTCTCTACTTGAGCGCCTTCAGTGGTCTCTGAGAATAAGCAAAAGCTTTAAGTTTTCCTACAGCTTCTTGAACTTCTGTGACCAAGTGCCACGGCCCAGGCGACTGCTACCTCATTCACAAAACAACATTATTAAGCAAAACAAGGCTACCCAGTGCTTCAGAAAGAGCTCACCAAAACATCGGATTCTCTGATCATGATTTCACAGACAGGTCAGTAAAAATACTTAGGCCCAGGCTGTTACTTTAAAATTTTGCTCCATTTTTACAGCTTACAGCAGGAACCACATTCATTTTATGCACTACAGCATCCTAAAAATTCACCTGTGGAGCCTCTTTCTAACACTTAAGAGAGTTAAAAAAAAATCTATCCAGCCAAGTAGAAACTTTACACCCTGTGTTGGTACATAAAGGCTTGGGTTATGATCATCTCAAACACACGTAGCTGTAGGAACAAGGAGCTATACTAGTTATCTAGGAGATTATTTTCACAGCTCATGAAGCTTGGCACAGAGTAACAACTCTGTTTTCTTCAGAAAGTTCTACAAAGTTCTGCTGTTTCTGAACCTATACAAGGTACATCAGGTTTGTACTAAAATACTGTATTTGCCAAAGGGTAACGTTTTACTGCAGGTTAGCCTGTTACAGATGTGGCCAAGTTTAAACACCAAGAAATTGAAATATACCAAGTCATTTGCACATAAAAACAATTCAAGGAGGAGCAAGCAGAGACGGTGAACATCTCAGCACAATGAAATCCTGATGTACGCTGAAATAAGATAAACTGTACCAACCATATCATTAACCTAATTGTGGCACCCATGCTGCCTATCCCACAGGACAGAGCTACATCCATCTAAAGCAAACAGAAAATAAGTTTGTCAGTAAGGAATTCATACACAAGACGACACTAAAACCAAAGTCTCATGATCCCAGTTTTAAGAAAAAGAATGTTTACCGAAGCAAAATGTTTGAGTATAAAGTGTAGAAATACCTGCAAAGGCTTCGATACTCCCTACGCAGGTCAATCATTTATCTGCGTTTGGGGTGTGGTTTCCCAAACTGTGGCAGAAGGGGTGGTGTAACCATTGCTTTCCTCAGCCCTGTCTTCCTGCCGGTACACCAACTTACCCACCCAGTTGAAGAGTACAGATTTTTTTTTTTTTTTTTTCCTCCTGAGTGCACAGCCACATAAGCATGACTGCTGGCACAAAAAGGGCAGCAGGAGCAGGCTCACAGCAATAGTTCAGTCTTGATATAAGCTGATCATGAACCCACATCCTTATTTCATAAATCACTAAAAACCAAAATGCAATACCCAGCATAACAAATGAAGATAGGATTCTTATCAGGGAACCAACTGCAGTGAAAACTGCTCCCTAATCTTTTTTTAAAATCACCTTTTCAAGTTTCCAATTCCTGAACTAAGCAAAATGGCTCAGGTTTTAACCTACACAGCTAAGACAGTACCAGCTTTGCAATAAACAAGTTAATGGCTGCCGAAGTAATTTATGATAATTACATGTTAAAATGATTAGCATGAACTATCAAGGTAAGTGCTACCATTACTCATCTGCTCCTTAATATTCATCATGTACCTCGCTAGTAGGACACAACCTGGAATTACCGCAATTCGGCATAATGCCAAGCAGATGAAATTCTCTCTCTGATCCTGACTTCTGTTGGAAGATTAAAATGAACGATGGCCACGCATCAAGGTCTTTGCGGTGCTGCTTCCTTCATAACTCACAGGGGACCCGCAGATTTCTGCCCCACCACATGTACTGGGGACTCTTGACACAACAGATTTACGAAGCCCTGCAAATCTAGGACCCTACTTCATGTAACTGCATTTAGTTAATCCAACGTTGGTTTGAAAGCACATTTTAGAAGCCTCTGTCTTGAACATATTTCAATGCTGAATTAGTGAGAATTATTTGAAACAGTTGCCTATAAAGCAGTACAGGTATTTTCCCAGAATGATCAGTGAAACATTTAATCTGACTATAACAAAACTCACAGAAACTGAAGCCAGTGAAGCTGTCAAATGCAGAAGGAAAACAAAGTTGCATGGCATACAAAGCAAAGTAGCTTTACAAACGTCATTTCCTTTTAAAAGCAAGCAAATCGGAACCGTCCTATTTAAAAATACATCTTTTGACATCACACAATTTTCATTTTTGTCGCACAGGAATCTTTTTTCAAGAGGGAAATAAATAGCACACAATACTTTAAAAAAAAATTGCTGCCTTGCCCCTGAGGTGCTAATGTTTTTAGCATTTAAAAAAAAAAAGTTTCTGGTGCAAGAAGGAGATGCACAAAGGTGCAAAAGTGCCTTTTTATTTTCAGAGCAGTGAAGAGTACAGCTTGCCTCTTTTCTAGGATGCTTTATATACTTAATTCGTATATTTTGTAATCAAAATCTGTATCTAAAATGGCAGTGTTTATGCATACATCACAGATTCAGTGCTCTGACCTCATCAAAACGCTGAACATAGGCGGGAGAGAGAAAGGCCTGAAACGGGCTTTCTTCCGCTACCCTCAAACCTAGTTACATCGCCTGTAGCAACAGCAGAATTATTTTCTTTCTAACCTTTAGGAGACCTCATAAGAAGAGGCTTCAAATATATCATTTGTCACTGAGACAGTTTAAGTGATTACAGTCTGAAGTATGGCTTTTCACACCACAGTTTTGCTTACGACTTTTAAAGTTTAAAACTCAAAGGTTCCACAGTCCAGTTCAAGGTTCTGCAGTTTCCAAAACTAAACTTTAGTCTCTATGAAAAAGGACAGAACTTTATCTGCCTAGTCCAAAATTACGTTTAGCTTTTTGCACTAATACACCATGTATTATTAACTATGCTTGTTAATTAGGTGCCTGTGAAGCTATAACTTAACATTATTATAGTTTTGCACTCTACAACAAAATTAGACATTTTAAGCATTTATTCATAGGTAGGTAAGGAACTGGTTCTTTAAGCAAAAATTGCTATAAATTTATAAATACAAATAGTGCTTATGTTTTCTTCATTCATGCTTGAACAGATTACAAACTGAATACAATGAAGTTACGTTTAAGCACCCCACATAGACAAGAGGGATAAAAGAAAAAAGTTTGCTGGAATATACTATACTTAGTTCGAAGACGCTGTAAGTTACTTTTTCACTGTTCAGTGATCCCTAACTCTGCATTAGTTTTAAGGCTATATATACAAATATGTATATTTCAAAGTTTTTTTAAAGACAAATATAGCAAAATGCATTGTACTACATTTTCCTATCAAAAAGTAATTATACACCAAGTTTTGATTCTGTTTAACTGCAGTAAATGTTACAATCTACTTGTTTTACTGATTTTCCTTTTGGGGAATCTGCTTACTAAATGAGTAAACTACATATTAAATACAATACTCTCAACCAAAAAGACAATACAAGGTGCACAAAACAGCAGTTTTGCAAACACGACTGACTTGAAGACTCAATTTTTGTATGCTCAATGGGAGAAAGCTATGCTTAAATCAAATTAGTTTATTATCTTATAAAATTTTAAATTAGAATTTTAAACAACGAACAGTTAAATATTGTCAACATGCTATATCTCAAATCACAAATACTGTTTAACCACTAGTCTCTCATTCTAAGTAAGTGGGTCAATTAAAAACACACACCATAAAATGTTAAAGATTGTCAGGCTTTGACAAATGTATTTTTATCAAACAGTAGGCAAATTCAAACCAATGCACATCTTCAGTGGGGAGAGAAAAAAAACCACAAAAAGCCTGATAAAACCCACACTGGTAAAAAATAGGGTTAACATTAATCCCACATCATCCTCTAGCATATGGTTATGTCTTGGGCAATAATCAAAATCCTTCCCATTTTAAAAATGGGCTCCCAATTAATAAAAATATTCTTCCACAAGTAAAATATCATTTACAATGGCACTGACATTTCAAAAGGCAGGAAAAAAGGAATTACACATTTATGGATAAATTTCTTGTTTGTTAAATCAAGCTTTATTGATAAAATGGAATTCAAAGTATTTTACTTGGAACAGCAGCAGACCCAGCCAATCAGGATTGTAAAAATGCTGCAGACTCCTACTGTATGTAGAAAGCTGCCTGTTCATGCTCAGTGATTAGTAGTTTCAGGTAAGGGTTAATGAAAAAAGAGGTGCAAAGAATCAAGGCATTCTAATCCCAAGGTTTTTACACGTATGAACATGATACTATTAATAGGGCATGATTTAACTCCCACTGAAGTCAAGATCAGAACTCCCTTTAACTCAATGTGAGAGCAGGAGTGTGTCCAAGAAAACAAGATACATTTGTTGAAGAATGTGCACTACTCTTAGTTATTTTTTCCATTGCCAAGCAAATTCTCACACTGTAATTTCTGGTAAGTTGCCCACAGCTTTCATATAAAACAAAAAGTTATCTTTACAGTTTTGTGCACCTCTTGAGCACCTAGCTGGCTAGGCTGCTGCTCCTTGCAATCCAAAACCACAACATGAATTTAAAGGGATATATATTGTTGCATCACACAAGCCAAACATTTCTTCTAACCTTTATAGTGATTTAAAGCAGTTCATAATTAAATATGAGCATTTTGTACAAAGACAATTGCACTTTACAAAAACAAAATCATACAACATAAATTGCTGGAGTCTGATTTACAACATGAATTATGGTTTGAAATCACGTTTACAGAAGTCTTTTACAAAAAAGATCAGTTCCTGGGCTAGATGTCGTACTGCTGTAGTCGCTCTCACCAACACATCATGTTCCCTTCTTTAATTAAGGTTGAGGATGGATGTTAAGAAGGGTCACTGAGGTTGGGCTGCACTTTCATTTGAAGGATGAAACGTGAACTCCACAGCTAGGTGAGCAGTTTTACCACATATCATCAGTTGAGGCAGAATCCTTAAAGAAAAAAGAAGGAACCCTTTAAAGTCTGGACTGCCCATAGTTACAACATTTTCTGGATAATCCAGACTGAAAAGGGTAAAGACTTAAATCATTTTAAGAATCTGTTGTCTCTCCCCTTTCAGAAAGAGCATTTAAAAAGTATCTAAAAAACACATATGCTTAATTAATGAAGCATTAATACCAAGATATAACAAAATCTGACCAAGGGTTTTATAATAGCCTTATCAATCCTCAAAATAACACCCCAGGAACATTACTCACCCAGTAGTTAGAAGTAATAAAAAAATACCCACTTACTACACAGATGTGTTAAAAGAGCAGAATGTACCCAATAGCATTTGTTATGATCGTGACCATCTTTTGTGTTTTCAGCCCTCCCTCACTGCATAGGAAGATACTGTCATCAACTGAAACCCTGTTACAATTCAGATCAATTTTAACATTTATAATCTGAGGTTAGAGAAGTGTAGTCTGGGCAACTGCAGGAAACCTCAATTTTGTATGGTAATAAAACCGCAAGAAGGAAAAAAAAAGTATTTAAGAAAAAAAATGGAAGCAGAGATATGCCGTGCTCTAAACAGTAACCATATGGCCACACTACGTGGCATTACAACCACGCATCCAATACCTGCTTTTTAATCCATCTGTCTTTGTGTCACGTCTGTTTCCTTTCCCCTTGCTCAGACTGTACTATATTCAGCTTTCTCTAATGGCCTCATCAGTTGGGTACACAGGTTAACAACACAACTAAGAAGTAGGACCACAGCTCAGCAGCTGAAGCAACAGCCAAGTCAGTAGCACAGGCATCAGAGCAAACTGCTTCTGCACAACAATCTTTGGTTGTTTCAGCATTACTGGCTACCTTCCCCTAAGGAATTAAGGCCATTATGGGCTTTAACAACAGTGTATGCTCGTGCTGCCACAGCTACACTGCCCCACCAAGACTGCAGGAGGTAGAAATACTACTCCTCTTTGAAAGCGCTGCCTTACTGATTCCTTCACGAGAAAAGAGGCTAATTAAGTCTCTCGCAATGCCACATATGACAATTGTTTTAGTGTTAAAGTTCTGCACCCTTCATTCAAACTTGCACACAGAATTCATTACAAACCATAAAGAAGAACAGTTGGCAGGGAGGTGTAGTAAAAAAAAACCACCAAAAATTACACTTTGCAAAGTACCACCTCCAGCTTTTTCTTCAAGACTAGAAGTAGCAAAGGAGAGCAATTATATGAAAGACCAAGTATCCAAGGAAAGTATCCAAGTTGCCAATATCATCACAAATCAAAGAAGTTTGCGTACTGTACATTTGTAGAATAGTAACATACTATGGAATATATTTTGAAGGTAAAGCATCCTCTTTCAGTCACTATTTAGGAATTTTTATGCTAAAGATATAAGGAGAACTGCCAAATAAACTAGTACCCAGTTGTAAAGCTAACGCACAATTCTTTATGTCTGGATGCATTTCACTTATGTCACATCTAAGCATGTTAGTAATTTTTGCAGATAGGTAAAGGATCAATTTAACTACTTTATGAAGTACAGCACTTTCGGTGACAGAACATTGTTTCCAGTGATCTAACTGCAATTGGGATCATTGTTCATATTTTAAAATTTTGTGGTTTTTTCCCCTCTGAGAGGGGATTTCTGTCTCTCTGATCACTGACATGTAAGAACCTAACTGTATGCTTGCTGTAAGATCCTCTATGTTTAAGAATAAAAGTGTTTACACAGTCCATTTGTAAAATTAATAGACCCTTAAAGCTGATAATTACAGATCTCTCTATTCTACAAGTGTAGCCTTTTTCTTCTTGATATTTGGGCAAAAATGTCTCCCATAAGAGGGGAAAAAAAGTGATACATGACTCTGCACCACTTGGCAGGAGAGCATTTGGAAACCCAGGCAAGCTTCAAATAATGAAATTCCAGAGGACAAACGAATCAATCATGCTGGAGCTTTGAGACTATGATCAGCAGAAGGCAGCAGAAAACATAAACATATAGTCCAAAGAGTACAACGTTGCTATTGGTTCTTTGGGGGAAGGGGTCTTTTAACAGGAACTAGCGATATGTTTCTTTACAAAACAGCTGGAGTAAGTGGGGTAGTGGGAAGACAACATAAGAGAAAGGGTACTTACAGTATCATCATTCCTGTAGGGGTTCAGTCTGTTATAAACTGCTTCAATCACACTCCGTCTAGAGCAAAAACAAACCCACAAGATTTTAAGGTTATGTCTTTTTTTTAAAGTCAAATTCCCTAAATACAATTTTAATTTAAAATGCAAACTTTAAAAGGTTTTAAGCTCACAGAACCAAGTTTACTGCAAGTTACCATTATTGCTGTTATTAAACACTGAACCCAGTTACCATACCCTTTAAAACCTTTAGGTTCAAGAAAAACAAGGCTGAA